TTGTCTGGATGGACTCCGGAAGACATCCGTCTTAATTAGCATATTGCCCTTTTATCAGTATAGGTTATTTTTTTAATGTATTTTATTGATTTTATTTATTTATTTATTTATTTTTTTTACAGAGAGGAAGGGAGAGGGATAGAGAGTTAGAAACATTGATGAGAGAGAAACATTGACCAGCTGCCTCCTGCACACCCCCTACTGGGGAGGTGCCCGCAACCAAGGTGCATGCCCTTGACCGGAATCGAACCTGGGACCCTTCAGTCTGTAGGCCAACGCTCTATCCACTGAGCCAAACCGGTTTTGGCGTAGTATAGATTACTATTGCAAAATGTTAATACCAGTAGTTACGTCCACGTGGCTTTCAGCAGAACATTTCCCCTCCTCACTCACCTACTTCCTTTCCTCCTTCTCCCTTGCTCGTGCTAAGCTTCTCTCTTCTCTGGCATCCCCTGCTCGCAGCCTACCCAAAACCTGTCCTCCTCTTTTTCTTTCCTTGCCAAAGGGACCCAATCCTTTAAGGGTGGTAGTTGGCTAGCTGTTGTTGTAATTTCCTTCCCTCTTGCAACCAGATACCTGGGTAACAGGGTCCTGGCCCAGGAGACTCAAGCAAGCTGACTGGGTTTGGGGAAAGCTATTGTTTTACAGATTTTTTTTAATTGCTCTTCTCTGCATCCCCTCTTCTTTCTATCTATTATAAGATAAGAGGCTGCAGCGTCTGGCAGCTGGAGGATGCAACACTGCCCCTCCCTGCCTGCGAACACAGTCATCTCCAGCGATTCCCATCCCCCCCTGTAGAAACGGAAACTTAGGAAAGCGGAGAAGCGTGCTCCCTCTCACACGGTTAACAACAAATGTCTGTTGTTAACACCTAATTTCTTCACCTCTGAGCATACCGTCTCCAAGCAAAATAATAATGAGGAAGATGGTGACGAAAAGAGCGGGAAAGGTCCAGGGATTCAGGGTCACGATGCGTGTGAGAACCTGTGACTAAGGAAGGTCTCTCTGCCCAACACACACAGAAGCCAGTACTGTGGCACTGGCGGGAGTAGGGTTGGGGATTGGCTTTTACTGCAAGTTCAACCAGTAAGGAGTCAAGGCTCCAATCTGCGCCCCATCCAGGGTTCAAGGTGAGATTTAGGGGGTTTCAGCACCAGGATCATTCAGGATAACAGACCCTTGGCTTCTGAGAGTATCCAGGCTCAGGTACGGGTCATACCCAGTCCCTGGGCTCCGTAAAATCAAGAATGTTATAGTTCTCCCCCCATTAATTGGGAAGGCGGTATTCAGAAGTGTGGGCTTTGGATTCTAGTCCTGGACTGGGACAAGTCTGAACCGTGTCCCCTCCCTTCTAAACGGACGACAGTAATAGTTCCCACCTGTCTCAGCTTAAGGACGAACCCAGGTGGTTTACATTCAGTGCCAAGGATACAGTGCCTGGCCCCTGATAAGTCATCCGTACCTATTAGCTAACGGGGATATATTAAGTGCTGTTCATTTTATTTTATTTTTTCCAATTTATTCAGGTAAATCATTTTGCTGCGAGTCTCTAATTCTGCCACCTTTCACGTCGCATTTACTAAATCAATTATGATAGCAATTTAAACCTGTAAAGTGGAAGCACTGTAGAGAAATGTTTCATTCCCTGGAGAAATTAGAGGGGGGAAAAAACAATAGTATGAAAGGGGATGTTTAAGGATGTAATGAGAGGGACTAGTGATTAAATCAAAGGGAAGCTAGGGAGCAATGAACCTGCAGAACAGCTGAGCCAGGCAACCTCCATCTCCTTCTCCTCGGGAGACCCCCAACAAGACAACAGAAGTAAGCATCCATCCCACAAGCCTATTACTCACGCCAGACCAATTTAATTTCCTCCTGTGACAGAGACACGCCTCGGTGACACAGAGAAGCAATGGATATCCGATCCTGTGGCTTCAGCTAAGCCTTTCATTCCAGCCTACAGACCCGCTAACTCTCGACGTGTAACTGAATTCTGCTGGCTCGTGGAAGCTGTCTCCAGAAATGGGAACCAGAGGCTCATGATCGCTCTTTGAGCGAGGAGGAGGAGGCAATGAGCTCTTTCCTTTGTGGGACTGAGGAAACACCTGTGTTTGAGGGAGGGCGGGAGAGGGAGGAGGGAGACGTGCTCCCCACGGCGCTAGCTCAGAGATGAGGGTTCACGCCCTGTGCTCAGACCTCCTGAGGTTGGGGTGACGGGCAAGAAGTGGCTTTGACACTAAAGGAGGGTGGCCAGGGGCTCAGAAAGAAGGGATCTTGGAAGACAGGGGGATCTGGGGGTAAGAGCGATGAAGGAGTGGAGAGAATGTCTTGACCGGGGCAAGGTAAAGGAGTCCCATCTGCCTTGAATGAGGGGACCTCCAGAGACCCTCTCCAGCTTGAAAATGCGAGTGACCGAGCCCTTTTTGGACTCTGCTGAATCCAGCCTTTCCTTTCGTCCCCCATCAGAAAAAGCTCGATCGAAACAAGGAAGGAAAAAAAAAAAAAATACAGTACGTCCATAGTGGGCCAACAGGTGCCTCTTCCCCTCCCCCATCAAGCCTGGGCCTGAGTTCATGGGCTGCCACAAACCAGCATGCCTGTGCCAGACCTCACCTGTTGCAGGCACCAGATCCCATGATGCATGATGAGATCTGACTCAGGAGGGCAGAGCAACACATGAATAAGCGTTGGAGAGGAATAGCTATGCACATAGCCAGCACGCAATAACTCTCTCATACGCATACATAGACACACACACACACACACACACACACACACACTCCCAGTCACCAAGGCAACCGTTCCCTGAGGCTGCACTTTGCTGTTTTTCAGACTAGATCTTTTTCTCCATGTTTCCTTGGAGGGCAGCCCTGGTCTTGGACTCTGCTGGGCGGCACCATCCCTCCTTGGGAAAGGCTGTTCCGTATACCAGTTCCCAGGCCCGCTTCCAAAGGCCCGCTAGGTCTTATCCTCCTTCCGACATGGAAGTCAGCCAGCGCATGGCCTGCAGAGTTGCTGAGAGCATCAGCCACACAAAACAACTGTTCTATTGAATAACTGACAGGTCTCGCTTTAAAAAAAAAGGGGGGGGGGGGTTCCACAAAGTTCACGTGAAAAGGGAGCCAGCTTTGGTCCTACACGATGGACAGACCGGCTCTCAAGATGAAAGGGACAGCTCTTCTGGAGGAGGCATAGGGTTAGGATTCCAGGTCTTTTTTTTTTTTTTTTTTTTTTTTTAATATGTTTTATTGATTTTTCACAGAGAGGAAGGGAGTGGGATAGAGAGTTAGAAACATCGAGGAGAGAGAAACATCTATCAGCTGCCTCCTGCACAGCCCCCACTGGGGATGTGCCCACAACCAAGGTCCGTGCCCTTGACCAGAATTGAACCGGGGACCCTTCAGCCCGCAGGCTGACACTCTATCCGCTGAGCCAAACCGGTTTCGGCAGATTCCAGGTCTTTAAAAAACAGTTCACATGCCTTTCCCCCTTCGTAGAGTATGCATTATACTTCAAATCAACCTCATTTTCTAGTTCAGATGTCGTTACTTTAAAACGCCAGTCACATCAAGGAGTCGATAAAGGGTTAAAACATGTTAATCCAAATATCAACCTGGTGGCTTTGTTTCTTTTTACAACATCCACGTAACAGGTAGTGAGGTTTCTGCCTTCTTGCATCACCAACAGGTGTATGATTCAAGTTCAATCCGTGGCAACAGTTAAGTCTATTTTCCTCTCTACCCTATGATTAGTAGTGTCTGCTGAAATAGTAATAATTACATTATAAACAACTTGGCTTTGCGGCTGGACCAGAAAGCCTTTGCAAGCCCTTCCACCGGAATCCTGCTGGGGGTGTGGGAGATGGTGGTGGTGGGGGTGACCTGGGTGAGAGTGTTCCCACTCACTGCCCGTGGCCCCACGGGAGGCCCCAGGCCCCTGGGCAGGGAGGTGGAGCCAGGGCCTGAGAGTGAGCTTGGGGCAGGGCTCCTGAGGGAGCCGGTGGGCACTGCTCATGCCCCGGGCTGGGATTCTGGTTTGGGAAGCCATAGAGGGGCACCTCCCCAGCGGGGAGGAAAGGGGAACCTCGAAGGAGGACTCCACCCAGACATCTGGGCTGGACGCTGCGTCCCTGGGTCCCAGGAGAGGGAGGGAAGGAGGGGGGGAGAGAGAGAGAGAGAGAGAGAGAGAGAGAGAGAGAGAGAGAGAGAGAGAGAGAGAGAAAGAATGTCTGGAGGAGCCACTGGGCCTCGGGGAGCAGCGGGGGGCCAGGAGCGTGGGTGGGATGCGGGGCAGGTGTGCATGCGGGGGGAGGGGGCAGGTGTGTGTGCCGGGGGGCAGGTGTGTGTGCCAGAGGGCAGGTGTGGGTGCCAGGGGGCAGGTGTGTGTGCCAGGGCAGTGTGTGTGCCCGGGGGGCAGGTGTGTGTGCCAGGGGGCAGGTGTGTGTGCCCGGGGGCAGGTGTGGGTGCCAGGAGGCAGGTGTGGGTCCCAGGGAGCAGGTGTGGGTGCCAGGGGGCAGGTGTGGGTGCCAGAGGGCAGGTGTGGGTCCCAGGGGGCAGGTGTGTGTGCCCGGGGGGCAGGTGTGGGTGCCCCGGGGCAGGTGTGGGTGCCCGGGGGCAGGTGTGGGTGTCAGGGAGCAGGTGTGGGTCCCAGGGAGCAGGTGTGGGTCCCAGGGGGCAGGTGTGTGTGCCCGGGGGGCAGGTGTGGGTGCCCCGGGGCAGGTGTGGGTGCCAGAGGGCAGGTGTGGGTCCCAGGGGGCAGGTGTGCGTGCCCGGGGGGCTGTCCTCGCACCCCAGCCCGGCGCTGAGCCGGCCCCCGCCCGCCCCTCCCTGGAGGAGGCTAAGGGTGCCGGGCTCCCCATCCGCAGGGTCCGCCGGGCCGCTCCGGGCCTAGGTCTGGCCCCGCGCGGGCACTGAGTGTGCGCCCGCCCCCTGCCCTCGCCCGCCCGCCCCGCCCGGATCCCCGCGGACAGGCAGCCCGGCCGGCCGCGCCGCCGCACTCACCCGCGGGGCCGCCCGCCTCGGGGCCGCAGTCGGCCGCGCTGGGCGGCGGGTCGGAGTCGGTGCAGGTGAGCCAGGTGGACTCGGTCTCGCGCGTCCAGCTCTCGTAGTAGCGGGGCTCGATGGCGTCCGCCCTGCTGCCGCCGCAGCCCATCCTCCCCGCGGCCGCGGCCTGGGCTCTGCTGGGCGGGCGGCTCAGCGCCGGCGGCGGGGCCCGGGCCCGGGCGACCGGGGAGAACCGGGCGGCGGCGGCATCCTTCCCCGCCCGCCCGCCCGCACCAGCCAGGCGCCCTCCCCTCCCCTCCCCTCCCCTCCGGCTCCAAGGCCCGCCCTGCCCACCCCTCCTTCCCGCCTCCTCCTCCTCGTCCCGGCTCCCCCCGCCCGCTAACCCCCCTCCCACACCGTCCCCCCGAGCGCCAGAGGGGGGACCGCTGCCTTCCCACCTCCCGGGGACCCACCAGGGTTCCGCCTGCACCTGCTGGAGCTGGGGCTCTCTCCTGTGCATTCACCCATTCAAACGCCACCCTCTCCCTGGCTCCCTGGCCCGCTCCCTCCTCCATCCTCCCTCCTCCCTCCTCCTTCCTCTTTTCCTCCTCCTTCCATCCCTCCTCCTCCTCCTTCCTCCCTCCTCCCTCCTCCATCCTCCTTCCTCCTTCCTCCCTCCTCCATCCTCCTTCCTCCATCCTCCTCCTTCCTCCTTCCTCCTCCTCCTCCTTCCTCCTTCCTCCCTCCTCCATCCTCCTTCCTCCATCCTCCTCCCTTCCTCCTTCCTCCCTCCTCCTTCCTCCTTCCTCCCTCCTCCATCCTCCTTCCTCCATCCTCCTCCCTTCCTCCTTCCTCCCTCCTCCTTCCTCCTTCCTCCCTCCTCCCTCCTCCCTCCTCCTTCCTCCTTCCTCCTCCCTTCCTCCCTCCTCCATCCTCCTTTCTCCCTCCTCCTTCCTCCATCCTCCTTTCTCCCTCCTCCTTCCTCCCTCCTCCCTCCTCCTTCCTCTTTCCTCCTTCCTCCTTCCTCCTTGCTGGCCAGCAGTTTCAGGGGCCTGGCTATGGCTCTCCCTGTGTCCTAGTTAGGCAGAAAGAGGAAGGAGGAAGGAGGAAGGAGGAAGGAGGAAGGAGGAAGGAGGGAGGAGGAAGGGGGATGGAGGAAGAAGGATGGAGGATGGAGGATGGAGGAAGGAGGAAGGAGGATGGAGGATGGAGGAAGGAGGATGGAGGATGGAGGATGGAGGAAGGAGGTTTCAGGGGCCTGGCTATGGCTCGCTCATGTCCTTGTTCAGGCAGAAAGAGGGCCTGAGCCGGGCGGTGCCAGGAGGTCCTGCAGAAGGAAAGGAGGCCCTGGAGCCGCACACGGGGGCCAAGCATGGCCTCCAAGAACGAAGGAGCAGCCCCCCACCCCCCCGGCTGGTTTGGGCGAAGGGGATGGGACTCTGCTCCCCAAAGAGCTGGGCGCGGCTCTGTCCCCGCCGCCTCCCCAGGCCTGCCACTTGCTGATCCCAACTTGGTCCTCTGGGCACTGAAGGGTCCCGGTTCAATTCCAGTCAAGGGCACGTACCTTGGTTGCGGGCACATCCCCAGTGGGGTTACGCAGGAGGTGGCTGATCAATGTTTCTAGCTCTCTATCTCTCTCCCTTCCTCTCTGTAAAAAATCAATACAAGAAAGAAAGAAAGAAAGAAAGAAGAGAATGAAAGAAGAAAGAAAGAAGAAAGAAAGAAGAAAAGAAGGAAGGAAGGAAGAAGAAGGAAGGAAGGAAGGAAGGAAGGAAGGAAGGAAGGAAGGGAAGGAAGGAGGAAGGAAGGAGGAAGGAGAAGGAAGGAAGGAAGGAAGGAAGGAAGGAAGGAAGGAAGGAAGGAAGGAAGGAAGGAAGCCAGAGAGGACAGGAGCCCTGTGGCATCTGGACGCCCTCTCTGAGCGGGGCTGGGGGCACGCTGGCTTCCCTCCGAACCCCAGGCAGCCTTGGCATTCCGGGGTGCACTGCCCGGCTCTCAGGCTGCTGTTCCCTGGGCACACAGCTCAGGCTCCGGAGGGAGAGGAGATTCGCCTGGCCCGAAGAAGCCGGAGCACCTGCGGGAGGAGGGAACACCTGGGAGAGAAGGAAGCCACCCCTAAAGAAAGGGCTGAAACAGGAGGACTAGCCAGCGTGGCTCAGTGGATAGGGCGTCAGCCTGCGGACTGAAGAGTCCAAAGCAGCCAATTGTGTCAGGTGGAGAGTCTGAAAATGGCAGCTCAATGAGGCATGCTATCTATCCTGATGGAATTAGAAATGCCTGTGAAATTTGAGCTCACGTGTGGAAAACAATTAACGCAGAACCTGGGATATAGCAAAAGGAGCTTTATAAATGCTAGCTTTCATGATCACACGGCTTCCAGTCTGGAACTCAAGAGAGAAGTGTCAGCCAAAACCGGTTTGGCTCAGTGGATAGAGAATCTGCCTGCGGACTGAAAAGTCCCGGGTTCGATTCCGGTCAAGGAACATGTACCCTAGTTGCGGGCACAACCCCAGTAGGGGGTGAGCAGGAGGCAGCTGATCGATGTTTCTCTCTTCCTCTCTGTAAAAAGAGAGAGAGAGGTTTCAGCTAGCAAAGTGGGTTTAGGAGCAGCAGCCTATGAGAGATCTATGAAGAAATGTCTCCTTTCCCAAGTAGCTGGGCCTTTCCTGGTTTGCTTTTCTAGTGCTCACACCTCCCAGCTCCGAGTGCCCCACTTCCTGCTCCGTCTCTCCCGCCCCCAGTCTCCTCTCTGTCCCAGCAGCTGACTCCAAGTTTGATATTCCAGCCACTGCTTAGCACTCTCCAGGGACATCCGAGACGCGGTGGATGAAGGCACTGAGCACTCAGGTCCCCCTTCTCCGGGTCTCAGTTTTCTCACCTGTGAATGGGCTAATGAATCGGGTGGGGATGTGTGAAGTGCTTGGAAGAGTGCCCGGTATATAGAGAGCCTAATCAGTGTTAGCTGTTGCTGCACTTTTTGGTGCAACAGAAGAAAAACCTGACATTCGTGTTTTTCACATGAGATCATGTCTGTGAATTTGTTTAGCACACAGCAGAAGTTTGGTAAATGTTCATCTTTTTTCTCTTCCCTCCTCACCCCCCCCCCCCCCGCCACCCCCAACCTTCCTTTATGATGTTCCTACTAACAGCCTTTCTGCAAATAAGATTTCTCACCGCCACTGCTATGTGATCATCGATGGAGCAGCCATCTTGGTGTTTTGTTTTTTCCCTCCATTGAATCTGTTCTTGCTATTACATAAAATCGCAAATTGAGAACCACCCAAAGTCATGGAGTAAGTTGTTATCCCTCATTGAGCTGAAGTTTTATCAGGAGCTCGGAGCCTCTGACAAGGGCTCAGCGCTCTTTTAATTACAACTCTTTAGCTGGTATTGAATTTTCTCCAATAACTTCAAGGATAAATGCAATAAATTAGATACAAATATGCAAAGTGTAATAAATGATCTTAAACCATCTTTTCAGACTCAGTCTCTCCTGTTTCCAGTCTTGCTTCCTCTCTTATGAAAAGCAAAAGAATTGGTCATCTTTTCCCATCTATTTTCAAAGCGACAACAACAACAACAAAAATGATTGTAAAGGAGGGAAACTTGTAACAGGGAATTGAATTTAGCCAAGGCCATCCAGAGCAACTCAATGCATCCTGCCTTTAAAAGCTATTGCTGTGTGGTTACCTGATGGGATTCTCAAAATAATGTATCTGTGACTTTAAGACCCTTTGTGGTGAGGACAGCCCTGGCTCATTTCCATGGAAACTGGAGCAGTGGTCTAGGGCCTCCCAGGGCTTATTTCTGTGGCCCAGCATCCCTGGGCTCTGCCCAACTATGCCGAGCCGAGGAAGGAGACCTTCAGCGAGGCAGTGAGTGTCCAGGACAGAACACAAGCCCCACAGACCCTAAACCTGCTGCCAGGCTCAGTCATCTGAAAAAGAGTGGAGAGCGATTCACTGCCTTCTAAGTTTCGTTTTTCCTCCACGTGAAAAAACTACTACAGGTAAGGAGCTGTGGCAGCAATAATTCTAGGCAACGGGGTGCAGACCCCAGGTCCTGAATGCTGTGCCTCTGCAAGTACCCATGGTGCTCCATGCCCTCTCTCTGGAGGATTTAAAGCAGTTTCCACTGAGCACCCACCCCCCTGACACACACACACACACACACACACACACACACACACACACACACCCCACACCCTGCCCCAGTCCCAGTCCCCAGTCCTGGCTGGCTCATTGATCTACATATAGGGGTGTCGAACTCAATCAGAGAAGGGGCCAAAATCTAAAATCCAGCCTAAATGGCGGGCCGAATGGTTTACTGAACAGTCATAAACTGTCATTGTGATGGAAACACAGCGGAGTGCAGTGATGACAGCGCGGCGCGGGCCACATTGCAAGGCCTGGTGGGACGGATTTGGCCCGCGGGCCTTGTGTTTGACACATGTGATCTACAAAGTGTGATTTTCTGGTAAAGGAAGAAAGCTCGAAGTTCACACCCCAAAGCACACACAATCTGACCCTACTCCCCACACCTGGCAAGTGTCCTTTGACACAGGCCCGTTCATGCATCTCTCACCTTTGAAGAATGCTCCATCCCCCGGGGGAAACTTAGGGTACACCTGGCATTGCAGACAAAGAGGGTAAGCAAGGGAGACTGAAATGTTAAAATGGCAAGAAGGATAAATGAGTTTTTGACTTGGTTTAAGAAGGCAGAAAAGGTGAAAGAGGAAATTTTGTGCACACACAAAAAGGCATTAACTGGATATGTTACCACGAAACATTTTATATGGAAAGTGAAATTTAAATGTGAAACTAAACACTAGAGTAAATTCTCCCTCCACTCGTCTTTTTATTATATATATTTTTATTGATTTCAGAGAGGAAGGGACAAGGAGAGAGAGAGAGAAACATCACTGAGAAAGAATCATTGACCGTCTGCCTCCCTGCACACCCCACACTGGGGGTGGAGCCTGCAACCCAGGCCTGTGCCCCGACCGGAAACTGAACCCTGACCTCCCGGTTCATAGGTCGACGCTCAACCACTGAGCCACGCCAGCCAGGCTCCACTAGTCTTTAAACCGCATGTGTCAAACACAAGGCCCGCGGGCCAAATCCGTCCCGCCAGGCCTTGCAATGTGGCCCGCACCGCGCTGTCATCACTGCACTCCGCTGCGTTTCCATCACAATGACAGTTTATGACTGTTCAGTAAACCATTCGGCCCGCGATTTAGGCTGGATTTTAGATT